TATTTTATATACGTATGCACACAAATGTATACACTCACGTTACTATACTTCTAAACCACTGTTCAGGTCTTATTCTTGAAAAAAATATCTCCCGCTGTGAATGATTTAAACTACAAAGGAAACTCAAGGAGCCATTGTAGTGAACGAGAACTCAGCGAGACTGACAGCTAAATTGTCGGTTAAACTGGGTAGTGAAGGGGAACATTTTTCTCATAAAATATATTCTGTTGTTAAGTTATGTTCGCTGTTGTTCTGATCCTCTGTCTGCCTCGCTCTGCTCGCTCCTTTATAAGACAGTTCATAATTCTAGCAATTTTATCTGTTCACCTGCTGGTTAATTACCTGTTGATTACCTGTTGAGGCTTTCGAGAGTTCTTCTTCTCCTTAACTGATGATTGTCAAGTCTATGAGGTTGTTTGAGCTCGTTGCCCAGCGGCCCACATAACTATCATAGCTGGCCTATTTCGGAAATGACAGCATAAAAAATGCCCAGTTCTTTCTTTAAAGTTTCCACTAATGTTCCAGTGACATTTCTTATGATTGTTGGCTGAAGTTAGTCTTGTGGCTCTAATGTTCTCTAATTATGTTCATTGAGTTCACTAATTATGCTTATGGCACCATGAATTTGTATTGGATTTCTTTTGCACTTCCTACCATATCTCTGACGCCAGTATGATGTAATTTTATTATGCAGGTTTAGTGTTTTGCATTTTCTCATTGTGAAATATCTTTGTTGCCTTTCTTCCAAAGAGTGCATATAGTTGGTTCCAGTTGTTTAAATTCTTCACTGATTCTATGTTTACCGTATTGGATCTCTGCACACGCTTTCCAGCTCTGCAATCTCCCTTGTCTTCATATAGTATATAAGATCTGAACAACAATCTCCAGGAGATACCCTCAGGACTCAGAAGGGTATCATCATTTGTGTACCATTTCTTGTTTTGCAAGTTATTATTATCCAACCGATCATTTTCCTGGCTGCTGCAATGTTGTCTTTATTGTGTTCTCTGAACGCTAGGTTTTCTGTCATTATTTTTCCAAAATCTTTGACTTGGTCGGTCCTTTCTACGACATCTGACTGTGTCTTGTACCCTGAACTCGTGAGATTTTCGTTTATCCCGGTGTCTGTTGTTGGAATATTTCTGGAATAGTCACACATGCTATTCATACATGCTTTGAAAAAACACAGATTAATAAGAAAGTAACAGCTGTACTTTATTTAGGCCAATTCGCGATTAATAAATTACTCTCATCCCCATCTGACAAACCTGGAACAGTCGAAAAAGGGAAAACAATTTATTACATACTTACACTTAAGAATAGTCTGTGATGCAGTTCCACAGGAGAGACTGATTAAGAAAGTAGAGACAGAGGGTACTGGAAGGTATCGGAAATTTACATGGACATGATTATCTGAAAGGAAGCAAAGGCCTCCATAAGTGAAGTCAAGGCAGGGTGGTATGAAACTCAGATCACCGATTAAGATGGAAGGAAAAACTTCTTCAGTGTGAAAATAGTGAGCAAGTGGAATGACCTAAATGGAGAGCTGTTTGATTATTACTCTACACATGTTTGAAGAGGAGGAGATGTTGCAATAGTCGACCAGCAACTGAAAGGTGCTTCAGCTCAGAAGCTGAAGCACCGCTCTGTAAGCAAATATGAGTGAGTGCTCACACGCACACACACACATATAGTTGGGTATAACACAAGTAGTGATGTGGTGGAGGCTGACTCCATACACAGTTTCAAATGTAGATATGATAGAGCCCAATAGGCTCAGGAATCTGTACACCAGTTGATTGACAGTTGAGAGGCGGGACCAAAGAGCCAGAGCTCAACCCCCCCAAACACAACTAGGTGAGTACACACACACACACACACACACACACACACACACACACACACACACACACACACACACACACACACACACACACACACACACAAACACACACACACACACATACAAACTTATGTATATAGTGGGTATAACGCTAATATTCCTCTGAGAACCTATTCTTGCAGCAAGAAAATAAGTTAGTGGATGCATACAGTTACCTTGTTTCTCTAACTTATACTTATAACATTAACAGGCGGGTCAGGAGTGAGTGGTTGTGTAATGTGTAAATGGGATGGGTTACCCACCACAGTGAGTGTGGTGGGTAATGGATGAGTGAGGTGGGTAATGGATTAGTGAAGTGGATAACGGATAAATAGGAGCTAGTGGCTAATCAATGTCTATAGATTTATTTTAATTTTATAGACGGTATACTTCTAAAAGATTTTAGCCTGTACTTTAATGTTTGTGGATTCTCGCCTGTTTCAAGAGTAGCAATGTGTGTGTGTGTGTGTGTGTGTGTGTGTGTGTGTGTGTGTGTGTGTGTGTGTGTGTGTGTGTGTGATCTCTGGCCATGGTTGCTCCTCCCAACATTCAAATTGCGCTCTTTGTTCATCTGCATTGAAAGGATGGCATGAGGTTTGGTGGCTTTTGTGTGTAGCATGTTGCTGAGGCTTTGGAAGTCCCACATGTAATTGTACGTATGTATGTACTCACCTATTTTTGTCTGTTGGTTCGAGCTTCAGTTCTTGGACCAAATACCGGTCATGTAATGTAATGACTCCCAATTTATATTTATCTTATGATATTTTAGTTTGTAATTGTGAATGGAGTTGTCTTCTACAACCTCCTCCTCTAGTTCATTATTTTTTTCCTTGCTTCAATTACTTAAAATAACAAAAACCTTTCTTACATCTCTATGTCTCATCTTTCTATTTATCACCTATACCCTCCTGTTCTATTGTTTTTTATTATGACCATTTCTTCGTTTGCCAACTTAAAAATTCTTTGAAGCATTTCATACATCTGTACAGTCTTCTCTTCTAAAGCTACGTTAGGTTCAGCTCTTTCAATACCCTTTCTTCGGTACCAAGCTTTCGTAAATCTGGAATGAGTTTTCCTGAGAACCTTTGTACCATTACAAGTTTTCTTGTGTACTTGTTGAAGTACTGCATTGCGAGGTTACATTTCTCAGTATTAGTCTGTCGCAGGTGGTGTTCAGTGATTTGAATGCCTCCTTACTGAAGTTCCTAATAAATGCTCAGATACTCTAATGTTTAGGATATTCTGCTGACGTTATCCTACGTATATGTGCCTTTGGAAACAGAGAGGATGTTATGTCTACTCCTAGATTTGTTTAAGTTATTTCAAAGAGGGATTTTCCTTTCGTTGCGTATTATCCTGCTGGTTTCTTTTCCAGTCACAAATTATCTCATACTAACTGATATTGAATTCCACTTGTTATTTTTCCGACAAACTCTCCAGCCTCTTCTTCTTGGGCCATTATTTTATTCTTTCTTGTCACGACTTTCCTCATTACTTTTGCATAATCCATTGTTATATACAGCTCTAACTCTGAGACCAGATCATTGACGTGGATGAGGAATACACAAGGTCCTCTCTGGCAATTCACTCATTAGTAGTAAAAAATTAAGGGTGCTACAAGGGCTCAGCTCTATATCCTGTCATTGTCTCTTTCAGAATCTATGGTAAAATTGCGAATGGATCGTCATCATTTATTTTATTCAGTACTTTCGGTTCCCTCCTCACTTCTTCTACCGTCATTAATATTTCACTCAACGTTCACTGGATTAATTCTGCTCATACAGGTCCATGTACAGCCTCTTCTCACCATGAAATACTTCCTGGATTCTCATGTTTCGGTGCAAAGTTCCTCGGGCACATTCTAGTTGTTTTCCTTGCATCCTTCATCTCTATTGATTTACATTTTGTAATTTTTATGTGTTTTCATCTCATTTTATACAGAGTCCTCTTTCTGTTATTGTTGTGTCTGTGTGTGTGTTTAGGGTGTGTGTATGTTCGTGTGTGTGTGTGTGTGTGTGTGTGTGTGTGTGTGTGTGTGTGTGTGTGTGTGTGTGAGTGAGGGAGAGAGAGAGAGAGAGAGAGAGAGAGAGAGAGAGAGAGAGAGAGAGAGAGAGAGAGAGAGAGAGAGAGAGAGACAGAGAGAGAGAGAGAGAGAGAGAGAGAGAGAGAGAGAGAGAGAGAGAGAGAGAGAGACAGAGACAGACCTTTAAGTGTCACACATACATGACCCGTCAATCATTACAGACACCCCTGTCAAGTAACAAGCACATGACCGTCAAGTAACACACACACACACACACACACACACACACACACACACACAGCACATATCAAGCGGATAACATCAGTGGCATATGCCAGGCTGGCCAACATACGAACGGCATTCAGAAACTTGTGTAAAGAATCATTCAGAACTTTGTATACCACATATGTCAGGCCAATCCTGGAGTATGCAGCCCCAGCATGGAGTCCATATCTAGTCAAGGATAAGACTAAACTGGAAAAGGTTCAAAGGTTTGCCACCAGACTAGTACCCGAGCTGAGAGGTATGAGCTACGAGGAGAGACTACGGGAATTAAACCTCACTTCGCTGGAAGACAGAAGAGTTAGGGGGGACATGATCACCACATTCAAGATTCTGAAGGGGATTGATAGGGTAGATAAAGACAGTCTATTTAACACAAGGGGAACACGCACAAGGGGACACAGGTGGAAACTGAGTGCCCAAATGAGCCACAGAGATATTAGAAAGAATTTTTTTAGTGTCAGAGTGGTTGACAAATGGAATGCATTAGGGGGTGATGTGGTGGAGGCTCACTCCATACACAGTTTCAAGTGTAGATATGACAGAGCCCGATAGGCTCAGGAATCTGTACACCTGTTGATTGACGGTTGAGAGGCGGGACCAAAGAGCCAGAGCTCAACCCCCGCAAACACAACTAGGTGAGTACAACTAGGTGAGTACACACACACACACACACGATTATCAGGTAACGTACACACAAATATTTACAAAATAATAGGAACATCCGTATTGTTCAAGCAATTGTTACCAGATCTGGCGACATGCGGCACCGTGGCTATACCGACGGGATCCTACCCAAGGTTGACGGGCTGGGTTGACAGTCGTATCCAGTCTCCCGATCCAGGCTGGAGCTCTTGACAGCTGCGTTCCAGTGACAAGCAACACTGCCTCTTTTTCTTGTGTGTGGCATCTGCGTTCCTACATGAAGAGCCGCAGATGCGCGTAGTGTACTTTTTCCACCAGCCACTTTCTTAAACAGGATTGAAAGTATTAATAGCCAAATGATTTTTTTTTCCGAAGAGATAAGCTTGTATTTTAATAATAATTCTATCAAACTTGTACTCTAGAAATGGCATGTGTTCATTGTAAGGGTAAATTTTTTTATTAGTAGTCAAATATCATATATATATTATTCTGAACAAGCTCAGTTTGTGTAACAGTGGAACCGTGAAGGTTGCCGCCTGCCGCCCGCCGCTATGAGCACTCCGGTCTTCGAAAAGGTACGCCAACAGCGACGTTCATAAACTGGGATTTTTTGACCCAATGTTGATTTGAGAGTTTTCTCGACTTAAGTTTTTAAAATATGTTTTTTAAAACATACTTTAAAACTTTTTATTTATTAGGGATTGTGCCACTTAGTGAACATACACCCGCACAAATAATAAAAATATTTCTCAACCACATGGACTGAGCGACGGCCTCATTCCTCGATAGGTCAATCCCTGATATTCTGGGCACCATTCCCTCACTCCGTCCTCGTATCTCAGCTCTTATCCAAACTCAACTCTTTATCCTCTCTTCCCTCCCATCATTTCCCTTCAGTAATAATCCAGACATAAAAAAAGAAAAAACTAAAGGGAATTCATTAAACTATTTCTCATTTATTTGTTATCACCTATCCACAATCAGTCCTCATAATAAATGCATGATACTTGTACTTCAGGGATAAAAGAGTAATGAATGTTGATAGAAAATATAATAAATGTTTATAAAAGATATAAATCCATTGGTATGAAATATTTTTCTGGACAAATGAGTATCAGTGTCGAGAGGTCAGGTAGTTGTGTGTGTTTGTTTACTTTTAATACGGTAAAAGTGTATACTGTGGACGCTCCTCATAGTCATGAGGAGACCCTACGGTATACACCATAATCTTACGAGGCAAGACCTACCTCGTACACCCAAGACGTGTAAGTGTCGTCATCTCCCGCAGCTGCTGGCGGATGTCGGCGACAAAGGAAGGCACCAGATTCTGCTCTACTGGATCTTCGTGTTACCAATCAATTTCTTGATACCATGGTTGGTACTGGTGCCCATTTTCATGACCTCGACGCCCACCCACTGGTGTCACGTCCCTGGCCGCCCACCCAATGTCTCCGTCGACCAGTGGAAGCAGCTTACCGTTCCCAAGTGAGTAGTGCTAAGGTGCCCGGGGCGGGTAGAAAGAATTGAGGAGCATCGCGCGTGAGTATGATCTTCATATGTAGAATCTGAGTGCTTCCAGAGCAGTGCCACACATTATGCAGATAGTGGCTTTAGATAGCCCATCGCGCGATAATGATAGTACTTGTAGCAACTGTTTGTTCAAACGTACAAAAATGGACCGAAGAACCCAAAATATTTCACGTCTTTTATTAATGAATTCCATATGGCAAAATACTAAGAAAATTATAACTAACGAACCAAACTTAACCTGTACAAGCAATCGTAGACCTAATATGCATTATCTTAGGTCCAATATAATTAAAAATATTGTACTCTACTAGGCTTAGGAAGATTTAAGTTTAATTTTTTGTCGAGCCCTCTACAAAATTAATAGTACAAAGCATGATCAATTTTGGCTGCAAGTCTATTTTTTATACGTTCGACCATATATATAGTTGTTATGAGAACTGTCATCTTAGGAGGCGGGGTTAGTGGACACGTACTCACCTCATTGTACTCCCGTGTAGCGCTGTAGAGGTCATTATGCACCTCCACACCCACTCCAAGCACACAAACAAACCGTTACGTCATAACAACATAATTATGTTGTTATAACGTTTTGGTTACATTGTGTGTTTGCTGGAATTAATCATTTGGAAAATTAAGAAGTTGTCTATGAAGGAGTATTTAGTTTTTAGCCCGTAAGTGTAAAGCCAGTTGGAGCTAAAGATAAGTCAGATCACACTTATTAAGGTTTAACACTTGGTTTTTGTAAGACACGAACGTTCAAGGGTTCGGGTAGGGTGTTTAAGAAACCCGGGAAGGCTTGTGATGTACCTTTATAACCCGGTGAGTCTTATAATGGGTCTCGAACTGGGGTCCTCATGTCGCAGTGGAGTGTGAATTGTCGTTCTCCAGGTGTTAGAGTTACCTAAGGGACGAACTGGAGACGTGATCTGGGTGTTGAGTACATCTGTGTGTGCAGTGGAGACACGCACTTCACAACACTCTCACGTGTTAGAGTCTGGAAAAAAGTACCGCTACTTGAAGCAATTTGCTTTCTATATTGCCTTATATTAAAGTTTTAGCCAATTTGAACATTATTTTTTAGTATTTAGAAAAAGAACATTCCAGCCATTCTCTTCCCTACAGAGAGCTTAAGGAAGGGAAGGAGGTGTTCAGCAGCTGCTCACAATATAACATAACGGGAGACTTCCTGCAGTTACTAGACCTCACTGCCACAGCTGGAGACGCCTCTGACCTCAACACCTCCTACTCCGTCGTCGGTGAGCAAAACTTATCGATAAGATTTCTGAGAAAGTCCAACTCCTTAATCTTGATTTCCTGTCTCTCTAGCCTCTCTGGAGCTTAAAGTAATTTTC